AAAGAATTCACACAGAAGATGTCTAAAAAGTATAGGACATATACAATCACTAAACCAAAAAATCATTTAAACACTTGTACTTAAGCATGATTTTATGATTAATTATAACCCAAGCACAGTCCTAGAGTTGAAGACTTAAAAAAGTGCTATTAAAAAAAAAAAAAAAAGAAAAAGTGAGGCAAATCTTGGGAGAACAAGACATAGTAACAAATTGCAGAAGTCATGCAGATTCAAAGTAGAAAAGTAAGAACAAGTGAGATAAAAGAGAATAACCCTTATTCAGGTTAACTCACAGAAGTCAAGTTAGCTAGAAATCATTCACTTGAGGGTTTCACATCTAAGAAAATAGGTAGGTAACCTAACAGGAAATTTTGCAATGAACTGGCACACAACCAAATGCCAGAAAAACAGATAGCATCAAAACCTACAGATTCACATGGCCTACAGAATACAAGGGGCAAGACATCATTGGCTAGTTGAAAAAAAAGGCCAACCAACCTTACTTGTGCAATTCTGGTCAAGATTCACTTCCTATGATGGAATAACATAACTTCCCTGCCTTTGATTCTTAGGATTAAATTACCCATTATTTGAGAAATATTAGGCACTCCAGGGATAGAAACCAACAGGTAGATCCACTGTTTTCCTGACAGCCCCATCTGAACACATATCAAACATGTTGAAAGGCTCTTCATGTGTCTTATACCTCAACGTCAATATTTTTCAAAACATCTCTTTCCAGCAGCATAGAGTCCACATGAAGCTTTAGAAATCAAAGTAAAATGTGATGTGAATGGTCCGCTGAAATAGTCCCGTTCCTGTACGGGCAGAAATTATCTTACTTTACAAAGTGTGAGGGGGTGGTGGTGTTTTGGTTTTGCTGGTTTTGTTTTGTTTTTTAAACTCACATATTCATTACTGCGATTATTTTTGTTAAGTGGTGAGGCTTTTTTGGATGAGAAATTCAATTTTCATTATGAAAAAAAATAACCCATTATAGACTTCCATATTTGTCATTTGTCCTTATGTTCCATGAAGTTCTACAAGTCTGTCATCCTGATTTGTCAGAAAAATAAGTAGAATCAATGCAGTACAAAAATTCTGAATTTCTATTGCTTCTGTTTCAAGTCATGACTTTCAACTTTTGACAAATATCATTTGTCAAAACATCAATTAATACCAAATACAAACATATCCCTGGTCCTCATACTCAAAGTTTTGACCTTCCATAAACACCATCAAAACACCCCATTTAAATAATTAACATTGCCCCTTGCATGTATGTTAGTTTAACATCCCATTTAAATAATTAACATTACCCCTTGCTTGTATGTTAGTTTAAGTTATAACCTCCAGAATCATCTTTAATTTCTGAAGTTATAAAGATGTTTAGACAACAGATTAAAGAGAACAGCAGCGCCGCATTTCTGAAGATTAGAAAGACAAATTCTCTGCCCACTTCAAGAATAGCCCAAATTTCAAGTTCTTTCAGTAAGATTATGTCTTTCTCTGGTTTGTTTTTGTTTGCTTCATTTTGGTTTTCCTTGGTTTTGGAGTGGGGATGGGGTTGGTGATGGGTTTTTCAACCTAATTTCCATACAAGACCTTCATTTATTATTTTTAAAAAATGTCTAATTATACTGTTTCTCACAGTTGCAACACTGAACAGAACATGTAATCCAAGAAGCAAAAACATCATCCTATTTCACTTTTGGTTATGAGTACTCTCTCTTTTATTGAATGACTTCAGATTCAGCACTCCAAGTGTTGAGTTTACCATGCAATATGGAAACCATGTCCATAATGAAAAAAAACCTGTGTAGTTTACAACTTTAATTTACAGAAAACAGAAAGTTCAATGAACTTTTGTTACACGGGAAGAGGGGCAGGGATAGAACAGGTTTTATTCCAGATAGAAAAACCAAGGTAAAAGCTCACCAGAAAGATAGAAAAACAATACCAATAGAAAGATATGAGGAAAGGGTAATGGCATTTTCCAAGAGCTATACTAAAAACACCTACTTCAGAATGGGGATGTATGCATCTCTAAGGAATACTTTCACACTTCACATGCTCTAGTGAACTGGTTATCACTGATAAAAACAGATAATTTTTATGACATGTAAAATGCTTTACATAGGACTAAAGCTTTTGGATAGTAACTAGATCAGTCCTTTATAAAAGTGATCTATTGCCAGTCGTTTTCTCTCCTAAGAGAGACAAAACTATCACTAAGTTCCTAACTCACTGAAATAGAAAGGAAAGTTTCTGTAACAATAATTTGTGTTTTTCCTCAGGATACTTTTAAATACTGAATCCACAGCAGTCTAGATGTCAATTACAGAAAGTAGGTCTGCCAGTATGTTAGCAAACCATTAGCACTGTGACTCAGTACTCTAGAGACTTTCCAATACAAGCCGTAATTTCCCATAAAATCTGAGGAAAGAGTGTAAACAACAATTCATGCAGCACTGAAGTTTGGTTTAAGGCCCCAGTTCTAAATTCCTTACAAAGCCACAATAACTTCAGACTTTAATGATTGCTGTGGAAACACTTGGAGTCTGATTCCATGTGTATGTTACACTTTTCCTATGGATACAGATATTCTTGCTTGAGAATGTTTTTACCTCTGAAAGATTCTGACCTAAGCAAAAGGCAAGACACAGTTTTGGTGCTACAGAGGACTGACCCTCGGTTGAATTTGTGTTAAATTTTTGCTGTGACAGGACACAACAGCACACACTCTCAGGTTAATACAAGCGCCTTTTCTCAAACAGCAGGAGCATGAACTGAAATCCTGAGATAGGCATACATCCTGGGCTTGGATATAGGAACAATAATAAATTAATAATACTTGAATCTTCTTATTTTGAAAACTCAGTCTTTTTAAATTCCCTTTAAACAGGAGCCATATTACTCCTTTCTCTAACTCAGACAAACAACTTAATCTCATGAAAATCCCATTTCTTTGGAAAAGGTATTATGTGGAATGGGTTTTGTTGGGTTTTTTAATAACCAAGAAAAACACTTTGTACGACTCCTGAACTTTATTTATCTACCCCATACTGTGTTCTTTCTGCTTAACTCTTAGGGTAAAACCACTTTTTTTCCAGTTCTGTCCCTCTCTGTGCCTTCACCTCTCTGGCCACTGTCAACTTCAGTCTGCCCATTTGTTGCAAGGGTTTTACCTGAAATAATACTCATTGGTAAAAAAGAGGGTCTCTTTCAAAAGAGACACAAAAAATAAGAGCTTCATATTTTACTGGGGGTGGGTGAGAATATTTGTTTCTTTTTAAAAGAAGTGAATTACCCTGCTGAGTCAAGCTGTTTGTTAGAACATAATGCTCACTACAGGGGGCTTCTCCAAGTCACTTCTTGTGCTAAGATACATCTCAGTGCAGAGTCCTTGTGAGGTGGTATGGCTTTGTTCACGAAGCATGGCAGAGCTTTGCTCCCCTGAACACTGCACACAAACAGTTTTCTTCTCTGGAAGTCTCTAGCCTACAAAATTCAGTGCTTTTCAGTTCTGTGCCGCTGTTACCTTTAAGGTCATTATTCCTCCTCCACATTGCCATTTGCTAGCACAGGGAGCCTCCAACTAATTTCCCCATTTATGTATGGGCAATCCTGCCACCATCTGCCTGGATCAGCCCTTGGCCACCCACAGGGCCTCTGCCCTTGGTTTTGGTTGCAGACAGTTTTCTACTAATATAAGAGTCTTTCATTGCCCCAGTTGGCTATAACAGCTTCTTTGACTTTTGATCCAGGATTCAGCTTGTGAAACCCATTAGTTATCACCAAGAAATTAACCTGGATGTATGACACCTTATCTGACCACTTGGTTAGCCTGAGAACTTCCACAGTAAAGTTATTAGCCTGTCTTCACTACTGTCTGCATCTGAAATGATCTTCCATGGCTTCATCCCATAGAAGAAAACTAAATTAATAAGTAAAATAGGACATTTCATTGCTATTTATACTAGTCCACTCCATGTTTGACTATTCAGGATTCTAGGACTCACTTATTTCCAAAACAAGTATCCCCAAACTACATTCCTCCATATAGTGTTTCTTCTAGAAGAGAATTTATTCACACGGTCTTACTGTGATTGTGACCTTAATGGCATTATCAAAGCATCTGCTGGAAGACTCAGGTAGAGAAATACCAAATTACTGACAAAGAAACACATCACATTTTGAGACTGGATATCAGGAACCAGTTAATTATGATAAAGAATTACAGTGTGACCTGAAGAAGGAAGACTGGAAGAAAGACTGAAATTCAAAACCTTTTTATTTCTGATTTTATTCCTGCATTCAGCAGCCCCACCTTCCCTCCCTTTCCCAAAATAAAACCAAAAACACCCCAGCTATGTCACATATGAAGACTCTAGGTTATTGCATTCTTCTTTTTTTTTTCTTTTCTTGGAACACCCATTATACTAGAAGCAAAACTATGCTACTTAGATACAGCTACTAGATACCAACAGATAGATTTTTCTTTTTAATCTGTTGATTAGCAGAGTCAACAGTGTCTCCAGTCCCAACAAGGCAACACAGATTGGAGAGATTATACTCTAGCCTTCATATCATTACCATACCTCCATATCTGCATCAGAAGTCAACCAGGTTAAAAAGATTCATATTTACAGTTTTCAGAAGTATTCACAGAATGCAGCGAGTTCCAGGGAATTCAACATGACAAAGAACTGATCCAGTAAACACAATCACATCTCTACTGCAAACACAGTCAACCTTTTAAAACAATGGTTGCATTTTCACTGTCAGGATTTACCAGACTTCAGCTACACAAATTTGCAAATGCCTCAAGAAACGCATCTCAGATTTCCACATTCATTCTCAACGTTTTGTAGGAACATTACCTGTTACTGAGTTTAAAAATGAGGTTTTAAACATCCTAGGGTCCTCAAAGGAAAGTGCAGCTGCAGGCTCAGAGGCATTTAATCACTCAAATCCGGATGATAGAACGCACCACTTACCGCTGAACTGGTAATGAAAGGGGATCTAAGTGGTCCTCTCCCTTAAAAGCCATATTCATCCTCTTCTTATGTGCACTTCCCCATAGGCTGGGATCTAGAAAGAAAACAGTTATTTAGTAAACCTAGGGAACCTCAGGCCTCTTCATGCATTTTCCTACTCATCTGTAGAGATAACTCATTAAAAACAATTCAAAGGCTTCTTTTCCACAGACTACCCAACAACTCCAGCAGATAACCAAGGTCCTTAAGTACATTTCATGGCATAAGCAACATCCTGAACTTTCTGGACTATTGCGCAGGTCAGAGCCATCTAGATTGAACATATTGAGGTTTTATTTAGCCCCATTTATTTTGTATTAACTTGAACTCAAGAGAAAATCTATGGAGTATTATTGTAATTCTTCATGTTATTGGAAGGAAGATAAGACAGTGTATGCTCACGATTTCAGGATCATTTAGTGCTATATTTACAGAAATATTCTTGATGTCTAAGCTACCGAAGTATTTACCTCATCCATGTTAAACAATTTCTTTTTTTATCCATTTTTAATGCTACACACACCTCCTCCATATTTTCCCTTTATACCCACTGACCAAGAGGTGCACCCAAATATTATTTTACTAGAAAGAGAGAAGAAAGGAGGAGAGAGACTCCTCATTTTCACAAAAGGAAGGGGTGCTGTCTCCTTTCCTCTTCTTTTAATTAGCCTATCCTATTACAGATCAACGCATGTTTGAAACAAAAGCTGTAGAGGATTTATTCTACCAAAAGAAGTTAAGTCATTTGCACTCACCCACATGGCCACAGAAAACCAATGCAAAATATTTGAAGAAAGATTAATCCATGACTCATGAAGAACAAGGAGGAGATGAATTAATTTGGGTGAGGAAACAGGAACAGTGGGGAAATTATGGTTTCCTGGATGTAAAGAAAAAACTGGGATCAATGAATCTCAGTCCTAGAAAATACTTTACAGGGGAAATTACTGCTGTTTGTGTCACCAACTAAGGCAGAATGTTTTTGATGTAGCTGCTTGTGAAATTCTGCTATTTGGTTTTTGGATACATTCTGCAAGTTGAGTCAGTCAGCATTTAAGATATTTGCCACTCCAAATTGCTCTTAATTGCCACAGAGTGGTCTTCAGGATCTTTCCTAGCAAACTATCTCATTACTAATGCATGTCCTTGTGTTTTTTCCCCAAGATCTCACAAACATCGTCCTGAGTACCTCAAAGTATTACAATCAACATAATGTGTTCACATGCTCTGTCCACTATTAGCACCAGATTGCTTTGGTAATGATATGGGCGAAAAATCTGTAAAAAAAAACCCCCGAACACTAAAACAAACAAACAAACAAACAAAAAAGATAAAAATAGATAGTTTAAGTGTTACTGAATTGTCCATTTTAAAAGGATTACAGGTATTAGATAAACTGTGACTGAAAGGTCATATGCCCAAGTAGGCAAATGCTAGTATGTATTCTTCTGCTCCTAGGTACACCAAGATTTGAAAAAACTTATTATTGGTCTTTTTTATTCAAAGCATTTAGCACATGATGGAAAGATTTCACTAACAACTGTAATAAATCAGCTATCGCCGTTTATTTTCATTAGTAGAATTTTTTACCTTTTTCAAAGATATTTAAGATTACCAAAGATATATAATCATATAATCACATTTCCCAAAAATAACCAGATATCACAATTACCATTGTCTTCCTTTGGAGGAGACACCTTTAATCAAAGATGAACACGTCTGCAGAAAATCTTAATCTCTAAGATGAAGTTTTCCCTCCTGAATCTTATCATGTAAAGGACCAAGAAAATAAATCTTTCAACCTACAGAAATACAGACTTCATGGACACTAGCCATCTCTTTCTGCTCAGCGTCAGACTGGGATTTACCTTCTTATGCCACCAACACTAAATCAACAGCTTCCCTCTGGCAAGCTAAAGCTACTCCACCATTAGCTCAGCCTACCAACAATTTCTAACATACAAATCAAAGCCACCTGCTTGTACTCCATTACCTGTGATCAGTGACATAATGTACACAGACATAAATTAGATTATTGCATGTCATTGTTCCCTATAAATTAGAAACCTGACAAAAATGGAAGGTTTTATACGCTGTCTTCCCGCAAAACACACTCTTATATTATGTCTGAGAGCCTCTAAAAACATGATCAACTCCTACTTAGAGTTTACTTATGCCCCAGGAACAATAACAAAACACACAACAATATCTTAACCAGACCGTCTGGTTCAAGACTTTGATTTTTGGGATCTTTAATCCCAAGGTAATGTTGGCAGCATGAGAAAATGCTCGCTCCAAGCACCTGGCACACTGCCAGAGGACCCACAATACCCCCAAGACTACAAGAGAAGTTGGAGAACCAGTGACTGTTATGGTACAGGTTTCTGGTCCTGCTTGGAATGGCTCCACAACATGCTGGGCAATTATTGTGCTCAGTGGCAGATGTTCAGTTTTCAGTGTTCTCATTCATCTTTCTGGGTAAGACCAAGAATTGTACTTCCTAGTAAAGACTATAAGAGGATTGATGAATCCTTTTATTTAATTTATACTGCTTTTTACTCGAGTCCACAATGCAGTGTTGAGCTCTAGTCAGCACTCCTAAAAGGAATGTCCTCTCCCACAGCTGACCATGTAGATGTTATGTGTGTATACACATACACACACATTGACTAAGTATATGCATACTAAAAGGTAACATCAGTAGAATTCTGCAGGAGAGTGTTATTTCCAGTGGGTTCTGTGCCCACTGAATAGGCCCACAGTTGATCAGAGATGCTGTTTAGTTAAACCTGTACGAAAAAAAAAACCCACCACTTGTATTTTGCAATATTGGTGATTTTGGTACAAACCTGAGCAACACATTGAAATACTAAAATTGTATTTTTGGACTATTATAAAGCCCTTTATTTAACACCTTACATTGGATTTCACATAAACATATGTCTGTACACAGACTTGTATTTCAGTTGTAAATTATGACTTACAATTGCTTTGATTCTTCTGGTAGATAGCAATGTATGCTTGTGGAATTAGATGTATTCAAGGCAACTACCTCTATGTCCTGCATTTTTGTATTAACACAGGATCAGATTTTAAGATGTTATTTCCTCATGTTTACTGGATAGATGTAGATAAGCAGATCAGAAACATCCTTTCAATCCCATCTAAGACAGTCAGCCAAAAGCTTCTTTCAGAGAGCTGGGCTTCATAAGAAGACAAAGCATCACACCTGAAACAGCACGTAAGCACTATTGACAGAAAAAGCAGTGTCAGCAGAGGATGTGGCCTTCATGACCAATAAATAAATAAGCATACAAACAAATAAATAAATAAATCAAATACCACATGACCAGGAAGAGGGAATTTGCTTATATACAAGCCCCAGGCCTTGCCAGCAACTGACACAGAGAACTAAAAACAGTCTAAAAATGCTGCTAAACTAGCCCACCAATAAGTTAAAGAGTCTCATCCTGACTTATGCCAGGCTTGGCAGCACCCTTGAAAGCCGTGCAACACCTAATTAGTAGAGTGATGCAGCTGGAACCTGTTAACCCACTTGTTCCACAACAGCAGACCTCTTCTGCTTTACAAGAACTCCCTGTTGGGAGCCTCCTCTTGCTCAAGTTTGTTTAGCATTGCAGAGCATCTTCTACAGTGCCACGTGGCATTTTAACAACCTACAAAGGATGTTACTCCTGCTAGGTAAGCAAATTGTAAAATCTCCCTGTGTAAATTTCTTCTCCATCATTTAACATGTCAGGTTATCTTTAACAAGCTAGAAATTAGGAGAATTTCAGCAGTCAAGCTTCTGTTAGAAAAAAAATCCATGACCAAAACTATCATGGTAACAACATGTGAAATAGGTTTGACTCACTGTTTTCTACTACTGATGACCCTAAAGTTCTTTATCACAAAATGATGTCCTTAATAACTAAGCCCTAAAACTTCACACAATTAAATTCACATTTTTGAGCTCATTCATGCCCACCTTTGTAAAGGCTGAAATGAAAAGACAAATCCATGAACTTTCCCCACTCCCCTTCCAACCCCTAACATCATAATTTCAACACTAACAATGTCTTAAAATAAGGTCAATCAAGAGCATCATTTCTTTTTCAGAAAGAGTCAGAAATACACACATTTAGCCTTTGATTATTAATAATCATTTGAATTAGAAGAGCATGCTAGCTATAATCAATATAGTTAACCTAAGAATAAGAAGTCATTAGCTAAAAGTCATTTCAGACTAGATATCACTTGATTAATATGAACAGTTCCTGTCTGTACTAAAGTACAATCTCTGTTCTGCCAAACAGAGCCTGCCCTTACTTTACAATTCTGGGAGTCTGGGAATCATTAGTTATTATTCTCCTGTACACAGAAAAACTGTTAATGGAATGCCACAAATCAAATTAAGAGCAAAATTCTGACAGCATTTATGTGATAGGTCAGAAAGTAAATACATATATTCTGTCCTTCAGCAGCACACCCAGACTATCAGAAGTTTTTCCACACTAGCCATTTGAGGTCTCAGGATCCCATGTCATTTTGCATTGTAAGAGTCTTATATAGACATTAATTAATCACAGTAGTAAAAGCCACCTTAGAATTAAGCTGGATGTCACAAATCTAAGAAAGCATGAAACTAGGAGCAAAAATAATGAAGAGTCTTTTAAATGATGCATTACAATGTATTGTATTACCATGGGATCACATACGCAGATCTCTGTGCCACACTCCTAGAATGCCAAATTAAAACTGGGAGAGAAAGATGGGAACAGGCACTACCTATGGCACCATTCATAGCAGCTGCTCTTGCACAACCAGTAATCAAAGAGGAAGCACTGCTGAAAAGTTTATGCCTTACTCTTCAAGTACTATGTGAAGAGTAAATTCATTTTCAATTATAGAGAATTTTATTGTGTATTTCTTCCCATCTTTTCTCTCTGCTTTCTGCATAGAGAGGATCTCATTTTAAACAAGACTATCGTGGACAATACCTCTTAACATATAATAAAATGGTTTATTTTGGAAGGGACCTTAAAGATAATCTAG